GGGGGGTACTTCTTATATTTTCTTTTCTGTAGGGAACAGAGATTACAACTAAATGATATTTTGGTATTTTTCTGTTTCCTTCATTATTGCCTCAAAATAGGGTTATTTAGACATGAGCATACATGTTGCAATTGATTTAATATTTACTAAATATTTAATCCCAATAGAATAAATTATTTTTTCAATACGTTTATTGTGAAAACTGTATCTTTGTTAAATTATTTACCCAGTGTACAGGCACTTAACTGTAAAATGTCAGGGGGTCAGGACTTGCATGATGGCTGTAAAGATTAAAGCTGAAAGGAAGAACATTGCTTCAGAACTTGCTTTTATTGAGGTTGAACAGTGTATTATTTGTTTTTCCTCCATGTCTCTTTGTGTTGTGCATGTGCATGCATAAGCATTGTGTAGTTGCAGGTCAATGGTTTTTACTATAATACTGTCCAGGGCATATTTATTTGAGCATATCTCTCATAGTTCGGAAAAAAGCTATGCAAACACTCCTTGTCTTTATTAGCTTTATGCAGCTAAATTGCTGGAATGAATGCTAAAATGAAAATAACTTTTACAATGAATGGATCTAATGAAAAAATGGAATGGATCTAAAAAAAAAAAAAAAAAAAAAACAAATGAGCTTTTTTTATATTCCTAAAAATTACCAAAAAATGAAAATAGATTGGTTTAGATTTTTTGTATTATTCTTATTACCATAAATTAAATAATAAGATTTACGACATACTAAAGTGAATAATGTAACCTATTTCAATCTTTTATTTATATCATTTTTTGGTTGACTTCAGAGATGACTTTTGAAACTTTTTTTATTGTGCAGTACATCATAGTCAGTTCAAAAAGTTACTTGCCTTTGGTAGATTAGAATATAATTTTATCAGTTTCATTGTACTCCTGTGGCTTCTGCTACAAATCCCCCTCTTCCTTTTTAACCAGTGACAGTGGATTATGAAAACAGAATTCATTACAAAACTGATGTTTGACAACAATGTGTCAATATTTTTGTTCCTCTTCCTCCATATACAAAGATGAAAGGAGATCCAGGTTAGGGCTGTCAGCCCCTGGTCATGACGTGCCCATGATGTGCACATGCACATCAAAACATCAGCATCACACACACACAACAAAAAAAAAAGAAAACAAAAGCCAAGAACAATAGGAGTCTACGGTAAAGCACCAAATAGGGGTGCTTACAAAGAAAGGCAATAAAAACAAACATCGCAGACAAAAGCTTATATTTCAGTGGAGGAAGAGCAGCACCTTCTCCTTGGACACATGTAGGGGGGACTCGGTACATGTGGATCAATACAATACAATACAAGACAGTAGTGGTTGGCTTGGTCCAGGGGCAAGAACTGCCAACATGTCAAGTGCAAGCTGTGCAAAAAGTTCTGGGGCACGGAACAGACTCTACACAATTTGATATCTCAAAAGAGGGGATGCACCTCAATTGACTTGGTGGAAACTTATGGGACTGTTTGCACACTTATTTCCTCCTCCCACTGCCACCCTTGGCACTTTTAGCACACGTGCCAACAATAACATGTTTTGACACATTTATATACTCTGCATTGTTTGTTTTCAATTTATGAAAGCCATTGAAGCTTCTAATTAATCTATAGTCTGTCATTTGTTAGAGTATTAGGCTCTACTTTTCAAGGATCAAGTTACTCTTTTTAGTGTCATAAACCCTCATGAACTTATTGCTTTAGTTGTAATATACCTCTTTGAGAAGGTATCATTTTCTTGTTATGAAATTCTTATATAGATTACTTGTGGGGGTCATCTGGTGCACATCTTACTTTTGTTTCTTAAGGAAACAGAAGTAATCCTCAACACCTGAGCAATAGATGTGTTTTCTTCCCCATTATTCATCATCTGCTAGCAAAATTTTGGTCTGTAACTGTTATGTTAAGGTTCAAAACAAATTTTCATGCCATTTATTAAAAAATAATCTGGTCATTAAAACTTTTTAACAAGATATTATTTAAAGGTACAATTGTGCTAACTTGATTTCATGGAAGTTGCACTGTTATATTGCTGAGAGCTGGAGGAAGTAAATAACCTTTACTTCAAATTATTCTAAAACAAAATTAAGTGTTGTTTACTTTATTGAATTATTTATTTAATCATTTTTTATAGTATTTTTGAAGATATATATGTAAGATCCTATAAAAATATAAAAAGCATTAATTTTATTATAGTATAATGAAATAAATGCTTTTTATATGTGTATTAAGACTTGTTACATTGCAAATTACTGTTGAAAGATTGAAAGATAAAAGTATTTTGTAAATGATTTCAATTTTTTTGCTGATAGGCAACTTGATTTTGCTTCATCAGTTTTCAATTGATAAAGGAAGATGCTTCTTGTGTAGGATGCCCATCAGCCCATGAAAACATATAATATCTTTATATAAAGGAAACAGAATTATTTTAAAGTATTATCTTTTATAACAAGGTTGTCTCAATTTGTATGTCCATTTAAATTTTTTGATACCAGTAGTGGAATATGATAAGACACCTGAAAGAAAACATTCGAAGAAGTCCTAGTAATTTCATCTTGTCTTCTGAACAAAATAGTATTGAAAAATATGATTACATGCTTACTTCCCTGTAACAAAAAAGGATATAGAAAAAAGCAGTATTCATTTTATTCATATAGGCACATTCAATTTGTTTTTGCCTATGAAGATGTTTTTGTCTGTTTCTGGTATAATTTTAAATTAATGATGTTTACTCTGTTCCTTGGAGAAAAAAAAGCTACTTGTGGTCAGTTTCAAATCTACCAAGTGTTGGCAATTAAAGGCTTCAACCCAACATTAAAGATCAAAAGGATTCACTTAATCACTTTAATATGCTACTTTTACAACAGGTGTGCAATACCTAACTTCAACCAATCCCTTCCATTGCTGTCTGTTCCATATGAGAAAAAAAGGCTAATAGAACATGAAGGTTATTTCTAAACAGTCCCAGTTATATATCTCAAGTGAAAGAACACATACCAGGAATCATTATATCCAGACTCCTGCGGCACTATAAAAATGATGATAGCATGAGATTTACTTCATCATGTACCAAGCAAGGTAAGCCATGATTTGCATTCAATATTTATTAGAAATGACTAGTTTTATTTGTTCAACAACTGATTTCCCATTGAAATCGATGTAAATTAACCAGAGAGTGATTTTGGAAACTGCAAGGACTGATAAATGAACATAAACAAACAAACAAACAAACAAACAAACAAAATATCCTAAGTGCCAGAGCTTCACAGGTGCAAAGATTGGATTATAAAATTGCTGTCTTGCGCCAAATCATTCGTCACTTGTTTACCAGTGAAATCCACCAGGAGATAGGTAATGAGGTTAATTGTGGGCACTTGTTCATTTTTACATATTTTATGATTGAAGTAGCATCCTAATAGGTACTGATTAGTATTTTCTGGACAATGTTTGCCAAAAATAATACCCAGTGGATATCTCGGTGAATTTGGACTGTGTATGTTACCAAAACAAACACTGTGGACACAAGCCAAGACTATTGCTGGTAAGTACCTCAATTCATTACCCCCATTGTTACTTTTTTCAGAAATTTTTACTATAATGTTGCTGGTTAGAAAGCACTCTTGTCATTATGATATTTACTAATGGTTTTTGGTATCAAGGGATTTAATGCATTTTTGATGACCATGATGAACAACAGTGAATAGATTTTCTCTTTTATGCATAACCTGCATCATTTGCTTTCGTTTTCAAAAATCCTGGAATAATTTCCAGCTCTATTGTTTGTCATAATGCCTTTCCCCCTCATGTGTCATAAATCTCATTAAAAACCTTATTGGAAACGTTTCTTTTCTGGATTAAATAAAAAACAACATGTCTGAAATAATCACTCTTTTTTTTTCAAATGTCTAGGTAAAAGGACACAATAGTTTTCCCTTTCCTCTTTTTGTACCTTGCAAGCACTCAGCACTCTAGGAATGCAGAATATGCCAATATTTCCTAGGAGTTCCTAGGAGCCAAGGGTGATGGCATGAAGAAGACATATAGCTGTGCAAAATTAAAGGGCAGGTTCAATAGGTAAGGGACACCTGTTGGTGGGTTAACAGGTAAAAAAGGGATGCACTTTACATATACAGATATAAATAAAGAATTATAAATTAAATCTAAGGACTGGGTTTGTAGTTTGAGCTATACAGAGATTTAGGTAGGTAAAAGAATTGCCCTTATGCTGACAAGATGCTGAAGGAAAAAAATGGATTCTCTGTTTATGTTATTGTGGATTTTTCATGTAAACAAATTATTGTTGTTTTTCAGGCTGTGAATATCTGTGTTTATTTGATGTGGTTTATGGACAATACTATGTTTGGACAGTATTAGAATTTTATAGATTTGAGCTTAGGGGAATTTTAAATATTTTTTCAATGCCTAATACGAAAGAGGCTATGCAAGGGCATCATTCTCTTGGGA